AAACATAATGAATAACAGTGAATATAAATATGAAACAGCTTTTTTTGTGGCTCATTAGTGGCACCACCAAGGTAAATAATACGTTCACATAACCTCACTCAGCATAGAGCTGACCCGACTTCTGAAGGAGTTCGTTTACGTTACATTGAGTCTGTTTGCGTAGGTTTCCTGTAGATTTGAAAGTCTATCTTGTCGTATTTTCTTTCTAGTGTTTATTTAGCTACAGTTATTTAGTTATACAAGTCCTAGGACACTAAGGATCACTAACAAGTTCAAGAAATATAGAGTATCAATAGTCTTCAGGACTCAGAACACCTTGAGTAAAATATTGCATCCACATATAGAAAACTGTAACAAATTTGACGTTTCAGGCATCTACAAAATAAGTTGTAACGATTGTGATCATGTTTACATTGGACAAACTGTAAACTTTATTAAATGTTTCAAATACCATGTCTCATGTTGTCTTGGAGAAACAACAAACCGGAAAAATCAAATGTCGTACAACACTTGTTACAAAATGGTCACTCATGGAAAATGGAAGACAATGTATCTATTTTAAAGAATTGTAAGAAAGGAAATGTGATGAATGCTTGGGAAGAATTGTACATTTACATGAAAAAATGTAAAAATATAAATAAGCTAATTAATGAACAAGTGAATTTTGACTCCAGTTGTACTTAAAGAAACTTCCTGGCCGGCACTTCCGGTAGCCAAAAGTATATAAGGGACACCATTTTTTATTCTTGTCATTCGTCTATTGGGTCTGATGATGATTGAAGTGTCCAATCGAAATTGATCACCACTGCTATATACCATCTTTCAAATGTATTTACCGTCTTGTTAGTCAACATTATGAGTGTAAATATATTATTTCTTGTGTTATTAGATGTATATCTTTTTTTTGTTTTTACAGGTACAGTAGAGTCCCGCAAACTCGGCGTAACGTGGACTGGAAGGGTACTGAGTTTGTGAAATGCCGGGTTATCGGGAACTAGGGTTAAAAATAAGAACAATACAGTTTTTAAGCCTTTTAACCGCCTTTTTTATTAATATTTATATTACAAGTCAGCATTAAGTCATCAGATATAGTACAAGAAATCGTTAGTACCAGTTGCGAATAATTTGACTTAAGCTGGCTTGAGTCCATGATTAACACGGACTCAAAAAATCACTAATTTTCTGAGCCTGGTGATGGCCGAGTTATCCAGACTGCCGGGTTATTGAGTGCCGAGTTTGCGAGACTCTACTGTAATTCAATAAAACCTACGATGCTGATCAGGAAGTTATTAAATGGTATTTTACTTTTATAAAGCCTACCCCCGCCGTAGCAAACCGGCAGACTAAGCAAATTTCCATCTACTTGGCTGGAATTCCACAAAATTATTCCCTCAAAACGAAAAAGTAAATCGGTCATGGGTCTATGTCTTACCATGAGACCTACAGTAATAGCTACTTCCCTAAAGGGAAATTTGCTAAAAATGTATGTCTAACAAAGCATGATCTTTTTCAGAAGTGGCAATAGACTATCCTAGGCATAAGAAAAGAAACTGGAACATATAATTTTTTATGCTTTAATATTGAAACACAATTCAAGAAGCACAAGAAAATTGAACAAAAAAGACAAGCAGATAAAAGGAAAATTCCACTCCTATACTACACTTCCAACACATCTGAATCAAAATTTGAGCAAGAGTGATGTCTGAAATTTGAATGAGAGCCCTGTGTAACTATTGGACCATTTAACAAATCCTTCAAACAAGAGAAGTATTAACATAAACATTAAAAGAATACTGACTATAGTTGATTCATGTAGGCTAGTTAGTTACCAAGTTATCTGAAAAGATCAAAAAGTTAGATAGTGAAAGGTAAAAAATGTTAAATATCATTAAACAGCTTCCTTTTAAATGTCTAATATGTACAACAGTCTTCTCATCTCAGTGGAAAATGCGAAATCATATATTAGAGCATACAGGTGAGCGCCCCTTTAAATGTTTAATATGTGATAAAACCTTTAGACAAATAGATAAAGTAAAACGCCATTTGTTGACACACTCTGGGGAGAGCCCTTATATGTGCACCATATGTGGAAAGTCCTTCAAAGCCAAAAACATATTGAAGAGACATGCATTAGTTCACTCTAGAAAACGTTTCCATTGCAATACATGTGGAAAGTCCTTTACAACCAAAAGCAATATGAAGGCACATGCATTGGTTCATACTAGAGAGCGACCTTATAACTGCAATACATGTGGAAAGTTCTTCACAACCAAAAGCAATATGAAGGCACATGCATCGGTTCATACTGGGGAGCAACCTTATAACTGCAATACATGTGGAAAGTTCTTCACAACCAAAAGCAATATGAAGGCACATGCATTGGTTCATACTGGGGAGCAACCTTATAAGTGTTCTACATGTGGAAAGTCCTTCTCAGACAAACGACATATGAAAGAACATGCGTTGGTTCATATTGGAGAGCAACCTAAGTGCACTACATGCAGGAAATCTTTCTCAACCAAATACGCATTGATGCTACATACATTGATACATACTGGAGAGCAACCTTATAAGTGCACTACATGTGGAAAGTCCTTCATAGACAAAGTAACTATGAAGAGACATACATTGATACATACTGGGGAGCGACCTTATAAGTGCACTACATGCAGGAAAACGTTCTTAACCAATTACGAATTGATGAGACATACATTGATACATACTGGGGAGCGACCTTATAAGTGTGCTACATGTGGAAAGTCCTTCAAAGACAAAGGACATATGAAGAGACATACATTTGTTCATACTGGAGAGCTGCCTCATAAGTGCACTACATGCAGGAAAACCTTCTCAACCAAGTTTGCATTGATGAGACATACATTCATACATACTGGGGAGCGACCTTATAAGTGGAAAGTCCTTTACATGTGGAAAGTCCTTCAAAGACAAAGGACATATGAAGAGACATACATTGGTTCATACTAGACAGCTCAATTATTAGTTAAGGACTTGTGTAAAATCTATCACATATAAAATAAATGGTATCAGCATTCTGACACATACTTTCTCCCATAAGCTTGTAAACAACCTTTATCATAAGCGGTGAGAGTAAATATATATATTTTATCGTTAAAAATAACAAAAGTTGCAATCACTTTTGGACCGTGATTGATACAGCAATGGGGGTTGTACTATTTTCTTTAGAATTATAAGGACCAAAACATATTAATTTTTATCAAAACCAGCTTTTCTAAAAAATCAGATTTTTTAAAATTGTATGTCTTGTTTATGGGAAAAGTTACATTTACTTTTAAACCGTAATTTTTATGGAAATGTGATTTGTACCATTTTGTTTAAAAGGACTAAAACATACTAAATTTCTAAGAAAATTGTTCGGGCCGTTTTTTGAGAAAATCTGTTTTTTCCGTTATTTTATGGGGTTTTATGGAAAAATCTCCATTAAAAATCAAAATTAAAAAAAAATTTTTAAAGTTCAAAATTTTAAGAACCATATCATAATAAGTTAAATCAAAATCGGTTTTCTTTTAATCCTATATTTTGTTACCAGTATTTTATGGGAAAATAACATAATTTACAATAATTTTTCAACTGTATTTTTTACGGAAATGGGAGTGATACCATTTTGTTCACAATTCAAAGGGCTACAACATACTAAATTTTTATCAGAATCGTTCAGGCCAATTTTGAGAAAATCAGATTTTTCCGTTATTTTATGGGAAAATCATTATTAAAAAATAAAAATTTAAAAAAAATAAAAAAGCCTGGAGATATCATGGATTAGTACGGTACCTACATACCAAATTTCATCAAAACCGGACCACAGGTGTGGTCTGTATCTCTGTACACATCCAGACACACACACACACAGACATCACTTCGAAAACCACTTTTTGGGTTCAGGGGGACTCAAAATGGATATATCCACTCAAAACTCAAACTTGAAAATTTTGATGAAAACAATACTTTCTCCATATAATATGGTATAGGGGGAGAACGTAATAAACTAGCTGTTCGTGGCAATCGGTTCAGCGGTGTCTGAGTTTATCACTGCCAAACATGTGTATATATATATATACACAAACATCCTATTTTATACTTATAGATTGGATTTCAATTCTGTATGTTTTATTTTCAATATTTTAATAAATGTATGCTCATAAATTTTAATCAAATGAAGTGCGAATAATGAGCTGATGCACACGGACGTGGCTGACGAGTGACGTCCCATGTCTGCCTTGCGTCTGACACTAAACAATCGTACTTGCGACGTTGCCAATTCTACCAGGTCGCGGCCTGGCCTGGAGTTAAAGGTGGCCGTGCATGAATTCGCAAATCCCGACTCTACCTTCCTTCCTCACATACCTAAATAGGAACTGATTAGTTTAAAACGAGAGCTCGCCCCGTGGCAAAAAACTTGACCAAAACTATGTATTGTGCAAACTTTTCTATCTTTTCAAACTACGCTGTAAATCAAACACATTGTGATTGTTATTTCTTTAACTTTAATTTGTTTTGATTTTCTGTTTATATTTTGTTGTTATTTCATTACCAACATGGCAACCCATAAGGCTCATGTTAATTATTTTAATTTTAAAATTGATTTTTTGTGCTTATTTTTGAGCCTTTATTAAATTTATAAAGGGGTTCTGCACATCTAAAGGAAAATATCTTTCATATGGTACCAACGGCGTGTAATTCGGGTGATACGGTCCATAAGCTAGGCGTAATAATTCCGTCAGGCTAGCTGTCATAAGTTTTGAAAAAAAATGTGTAGTATATAAGATAATCAATGCTCGGTGGCACTTATAAATGCTTATACTGCTTTGTTTTTATTGTAAAGATTTCTTCTTCTGGTCTTTTTCTCCATCACATCAAGTTTTATTTTTATCTGTTATCTCTGGTTATCTCGGTCTCGTTATCTCCTTATGTTGAATGTATTGCTTCTAGTTTCAGTTACTGTAATAAACAGTAACCAGTAGGGCTTAGTCCAGTTAGTTGTAGCAGTATCATCACTATGATTAGTACCAATACCACAGAAGGCAATAGAGAGACAAACAGATAAGAATTAACAAGAAAATAAACAAATTCAAACCATCAAAGTTTATTTGGATTTGTTGCAGCAGAAAAACTTTAGCACTATTGTTTTCAGGTAAAAATCTAGTTTCTGGTGATACCGTACATTAACTTAAATTAGGCCTATTTTACTATTACCATAAGGATGTAGATAGGGCTGCACTTTACTTTAGGTCCTACACTCATTCAAATGAATATATCGTTTGGTTAGTTAGGTAAGGTTAACCTAACCTAACTAACCAAACGATATATCGAATGAAACAATCGAATAATCGATATTTTCATTCGGTTGTTTGTGTAGGACCTAAAGTAAAGTGCAGCCATCAAAAGATTTAGCCTAGTTTTATTTTAAAACAAGAAACTAAGTTCCCCATGGTCACCTTATTAAGCGCAATTCCTACTAGTCGGAATGTTGTTGGTTGTGATAGGCCTAAGTTAACTTAGCCTTTCCTTGAACTACCGGTAGCCTAACTTTGAAGCTTTTCGATTAGGCCCTAAGTTAACTCAGCTAGTTTGTTTACATTACCTATTCGAAAATGTGGGTGCAGTTTCTTAACTGGGCTACGCTAATATCGATTGAAAGTTAGTTTATGGATTCACTAGTTAGTTAAACCTTCATTCGAATTTTTCATTATCAGCAAGTTTGGTTAAGTTAGTTAGGTTAGGTTATGATAGTTTCATTTTATAATAGGCTTAGGCGTTTTGTTAAACATATTAGGCCTACTGATTAAGTTAACTTATTAATCAATTGTTTAGCTGCACTTTAGTATCTGTCCTACACTCATTCGAATGAAAAATATTGATATAAGTTTTAATAGGTTAAAACTTATTCGATATGTCGATTAAGTGAAAAAAATGAAATACATACGGTTAGTTAAACCATTGACTGACTTTATATCTACACAAACATAGGTTTGGTTAAAGTAACCTAGGCCTAACTATACCAAACTTAATATATCGTATGAAATAGGCTATGTTACTTGATATATCGAGCAATATATTCATTCAAATGAGTGTAGGACAGATAAGTACTAAAGTGCAGCCGAATTTTCGATCAATAGTTTCAATCAACATTAGTGTAACCCAGGTAAGAAACTGTAGGCCTACCCTTAAGTAAATGATTTTCTTACTAACAGCCAGCCAATATGTGACTTTAAGTTCCTCTATCATAATGACTGTAAGTTAATTCAATCCGACTAAATACAACATGTATTTGATATTTAACAAAAATTACCTGTCTATGCATGTACATGTAAAATCGAAAAATAAATATCTTAAATGTCTTAACTTATGTCTGTGATATATTTGAATTAAGCGTAAAACATAAGGTTTTATGCTACAATGTTTTATTGCTCTGAGTTAGTTGAAAATTATCTATTTTTTACGTGATGCTGAAATCATTAACTTAAGCCTATCATTGGATTTTATTCTTTTCAAGCCATCCCTGAACATAACTTTGTATATTTAGTTATTAAATACGATATGAAATCATATGGATAGACTGAACATGTCTAATATATAACGCATCACAAAAACTGCATACTTTTAGGGTTACTTTTAGGTTACAGTAGACTCCCTCTTAAGTTATCCGGACTCCTCAGGCCCGAGGCCAGTTTAACGGTTTTTGTGGTTAAACCAACGTCCCCAAAAACTCGTTCAAACAGACTGTTTAAATGCATACTGTATAGAGTATTCAACTTAAATTTAGGAGGGTAGACACGTGATCACTGGTCTCAAATCTTTCCCACAACAACAGTCGTTTCAGTACCACCCACATCCTGCCGATCTTGTCCAGTTTTTTAAGATGATATACTTACCCTATACAAATTGTCGGGTTAAAGAGATATTATTTCCGGTATCTCTCTCGGTTAAACCAGTACATCTTTAACTTAAAAAGAAAATTCCAGAACACTAAATTTAAAATTCTAATGTTATTCTTAAAATCGAGAATAAATAAACTGTTGTGGTTTACTTGTGTTTGGATTTATTTTTATAAAATAAAAAAATTAATATTAAAATATAACCATTTTAATAAAAAACGCTACCTACATTTATGCCTTCCCTATAGCAGCAAACCTAAAAAGAACAGGCACCTTGAATAGGGCCTAGTAAATAAATCTGATATTAGTGAAAATCCAACACTCTGCATTGGAAATTCGCTTAGTCTGCAGGGGTGGGGAAATTTTATTTCAATGTCTTTATTACTAATCTATATATTAATAGGCAAAGCATATGTTTCTTTAAAACCTTTTTTCTCAGCTCATGAGCATTGCAGGGAAAATCTATACATATTGTTAGAAAGATATTTGCCTGTAGATGTGCAGAATCCCTTTATAAATTAAAATACCTATGCTAAAAAACAAGCACAAAAAATTAATTTGAAAACTTAAATACAAATTAACATGGGTTTTATGGGTTGCCATGATGGTGACGAAATATGGACAGAAAATTAAAAAAAATTCCAATCAGCGTGAGGTGTAAATAGAGAAGTCATTACATATTTTTTTTCGAGTTTTCTTCCCTTATTATCCGGAAGTCGATAATGATATTCCTTCCAGCTTTCAACAAACTCCTGTTTGTTAACAATTTGTCATTACTACGGTAATATAATAATATTAATACTCAGAATAACAAACAGAGGTGATCCAGTAGCTCATCATTTGTCATCCAAAACCTCGACTCCCCCCCTCTTGACCAGTCTTCCCTCTCACAAAGAACAGACCAGATTGGCAGCGATTGTTACTGATAGCGATTGACAGGACACCAATTGAAGTGAGATTAATTAAACATTATGAAGTTATTTCTCCTTTCATTTCGCTTGACTTTTTAAATTTCCCTTTTCATTTAGGATATCTTTAAACAGGCTTTAATAATATTCACTCACTTTGAAAATTTCAAGATATAGGCCAGCAAATCATTAGTTTATTTTAGAAATTTACACGATTAGTACATTTAGAAAATTTTGACTTTGTAACCCGGTCCTGGTTTTATGTTAAAAATTCACCAGTGATAAGCACATGTAAATTAGAAATATACCCCCGCTGCAGCAAACCTGCAGACTAAGCAAATTTCTAATTGCCTGATATGATTTTCACTTAAATCTTATTAAATAACATTAGGTTTTTAACGAGTACCTAGGTTTACTGCTGCAGGTAGGGTAATAAAGTGTGTTTTAGTAAAATAATTTTAGCTTAGTGTAAAATAAATAAAATTTGCCAAGTTCTATCAAATTACAGTAGACCCCGTCTAATCCCACCCTTTCGGGACCGGAGCTAGCTGCTCGGATAACTCAAGATCGATTAAAACGGGCAATCCCTAGTGTTAACTTGGAAATAGGCCTATATAATCACTATTCTGAAGTCTTGCATGCGTTATTTACAAAATAAACTAGGCTACACTTATCTCTTTTTTTCATATAAGTATTGACGATAGAAAAGTCACAAATAAACCAAAAATACGGTTAAGTCAAATACTTTCAGTGATATAAATTATATTCGTAGGCAAGAGTCAATAAAAAATCTTTTTAGCGAATTTCCCAAATAGCGAATTCCATATAGGGAATAAGCTATTACCGTAGGTCTCATGGTAAGACCTAGACCCGGAACATCTGATTGACATATTCGTTATCTAGCCCTCCAAGTGTCCATAGTTTAGGCCTTAATGTCCACCTATTTTTGGCCCCTTTGCAAGGTTTTATTAAAACTGATCTGAGAAGCTTAAAACAATGTTAATTCTAATGTTCTATATACCATTTTGTTTGGAAAATCATGGGCTTCAATATTATATATAAAACATAAGGAACATTTAAAAAAAAAAAATTTTTAGGTAAAAAAAAATATAATTTCGAAAATTTTCAAACAAAAAAAATAAGTTTGCGCTCAATGAAATTGTATACATTATAGGCCTATAAATATTTGAAAATAGCCACTTTGTTCTAAATTTAATGAGGATTACAAATATATAATCATATAGCGAGGTAAGTTATCAAATAAATAAGTTATGAGCGAAAAACGGATTTCAGTACATAGTGTTTAGCTAAGAATGCATAGCCTAACCATAGCTAGGAATCTGGCTGATAATTTACATCAATATCACTACCTACTTCTTCAGGATCATCAACCAGCACTTCAAAACCACTTAAATCTTCTTATAATGCACCACGTATATCACTACTTTTGATTTTTAACACTAAAACAATGATAAACGTAATAAAACACATCAGTCATCAGACCGGGGGAACCTAGCTGTTTACAAATACACGCACGTCAGCTGTCTGCTACAATATTTTCGGAACTAAAATGAATAGCGCTTAGAGACAGGCCTCTGGAGAAAGCTTAGAATATTACGGAAAGAACGATACCTAACTCGATCCAGTTTAATCCGATTCAGTCAGTCATAGAGCCTTCGCCGTAAACGATGTTTGTGCGTCTTAAACTCGACGCGTGACCCTACACAAAGTGTGTTGTGCGTCTATTTTTTGACGCGTGACCCTCGGAGGGCTAATCCATTTTGTAAAAGTCTTCATTTAACCAGATCAATAGTTACAATTACAGGAATATTGGTGTACAAATTTGAAACATCAAATGTGGGGCCATTCTCCATGGACACAGGAATTACTTCTGCTACAGAAAAAGGCGCTGAGGATAATAACATCTTCTGGCTACAAAGCGCACTGTCGTCCCATCTTCCTGGAGCTGGGTGTGTTGACTGTTTATAGCCAGTATGTCCTCAATGTCTTGATCCTGCTGAAGGCTAATATCCACCATTTTGTTGTGAGAGACAATATTCATAGTCACCATACCCGTCAAGCTTGTGACATTGATTTGCCGAGATGCCGCCTAGCCCGCTCACTGAAGAGCTATCCTCGGTCTGCGATAAGGTTTTTTAATTCCTTGACGGTGCATGTACGCGACCTGGACCTTGACGATTTTAAGACGGCCCTACGTGACAGGCTGGTAAATAGGCCTCTTTACAGCCTTGAAGAGCTAGGCAACGAGCCACTTTTTAGCCATTGCCACAGTGTAAATAATGTGTAAATAGTTTTCTTAGTATTAAGTAAATACCTATGACGCAGTCATACCGATATCATCGGTCAACGACACAGACTTCAAGTATTCAAGTAAGTATTCAAGTAATGAAACTAACCTACAACTTGATTCTATATCTATGTTCTGAACACATTCAACAAAATCATAACTATTCATTATTACATTATATATGTATTCTAATTCTAAATCTTGGTTCAACTTACTTGCTAACATTTTTGTAACAATGTAAGTAGGACCACATTTAATGTTAACTACACCCGAATCTCACGTTTACCGAGAATTTGAAGAAAACAACAAGATCAATTTCCTGGACCTAACACTAGAAAGAAAATATGACAAGATAGACTTTATTTATTTATTTATTTACCAACGTCAATACACCAATTTACAAAGATAATAATTTGACACCTACAACAGTGAATGTTTGTGTTTTGTACTAGGTACAATAATAAACAATGAAAAGGATAACAATAATAGAAATTAAATTAGTAACAATAATAAATAATGAAATGAATAACAATAATAAAAGATTAAATGAGCAACAATAATAATGATTTGAGAGATATATAAACAAGAACGATAACAGTACCAACAGTGAAATATTACAGAGCGTCACATTCCTCCGCTGCCACTCGCCTAACAGCCTCCAAACTGGAAGCGAAAAAGTCGACCGACAAGCAGATCTCGTTCCCAGAGGGCATCAGACGTGGTATGGGACCTTTTCTCAATATGTGGCTTCATAGTATGCATTTTTTTTACAAAAAAAAAACATGAAAAGCTAGTAGTTTTTACATAACCTACCGAAAACGAGAACTGGGATTGTAAAGCAACATACTCAACTGAAATTGCATGATTGTGCCATTTTTATTAGCTCGGGGATGGAAGTGATTGAATTTATCAAGCACTTATGATCTTCTTTCTTGAGCACGCATTATAAATGATCATTAAGTAGCATAGTGATAGAAAAAGGCAGATGCCAACCCTTAAGCCTGTGTCACACTACGCTACTTTACTAGCAGCTAGCGAAATAGCAGCTACTAAGTAGCCAATGTGACATAGGCAGTAGCAGCTACTAAGAGTAGCGCGCTAGTGAAATTTTACTAGCATGGAAAGTTGAACATGTCCAACTTTCCGTGCTACTAAACTGCGCTAGTGAGTCACGTGACCAACTAGCAGCTATCAAATAGCGACTGTCGCCCAGTGTGACAGCTTCAATAGCAGACAAGCGGCTACTTGCACCACGTGCTGTCAGCCTGATTTGTTTATTCTCGTTCATTTTGAATAATTTCTGAAGTAATCATGAGTGATCCGAAGTGGGGTGGGGGAGATGTGATTAATTTTTTGAACTTGTATAAAAAATATCCGTGTCTTTGGGACATAACCTCTCTTGAGCTAAACTAGTAGTAGCAGCTAGTGAATAGACGCTACCAAAATAAGTGTGACAGGAAAAGTAGCTGCTATTTCAGTAGCTGCTACTAGGTAGCTGCTAGTAAGTAGCCAAGTGTGACACAGGCTTTAAAATATTAAAATTTTTGTTAAAAATATTAGGTGAAACTCACTGCAAATAATCGTTCAACAAAATTATTCCCTCAAAACGAAAAAGTAAATCGGTCGTGGGTCTATGTCTTACCATGAAACCTACAGTAACAGCTAAAGGGAAATTTGCTAAAAATGTATGTCTAACAAAGCATGATCTTTTTCAGAAGTGGCAATAGACTATCCTAGGCATAAGAAAAGAAACTGGAACATATTATTTTTTATGCTTTAAAATTGAAACACAATTCAAGCAGCACAAAAAAATTGAACAAAAAAGACAAACAGATAAAAGGAAAATTCCACTCCTATACTACACTTCCAACACATCTGTATCAAGATTTGAGCAAGAGGGATGTCTGAAAATTGAATGAGAGCCCTGTGTAACTATTGGACCATTTAACAAATCCTTCAAACAAGAGAAGTATTAACATAAACATTAAAAGCATGCTGACTATAGTTGATTCATGTAGGCTAGTTAGTTTCTAGGTTATCTGACAAGATCAAAAAGTTAGATAGTGAAAGGTAAAAAATGTTAAATAACATTAAACAGCTTCCTTACAAATGTCTATTATGTACAACAGTCTTCTCATCTCAGTGGAAAATGAGAAATCATATATTAGAGCATACAGGTGAGCGCCCCTTTAAATGTTTAATATGTGAGAAAACCTTTATACAAATAGGTCAAGCAAAACGTCATTTGTTGACACACTCTGGGGAGAGCCCTTATAAGTGCACTATATGTGGAAAGTCCTTCAAAGCCAAAAGAAATATGAAGGCACATGCATCGGTTCATACTGGGGAGCAACCTTATAAGTGCAATACATGTGGAAAGTCCTTAACGAACAAACGCAGCATGAGGAGACATGCATTGGTTCATACTGGGGAGCAACCATATAAGTGCACTACATGCAGGAAATCTTTCTCATCCAAATACGCATTGATGCTACATACATTGATACATACTGGGGAGCTACCTTATAAGTGTGCTACATGTGGAAAGTCCTTCAAATACAAAAGGTATATGAAGGAACATGCATCGGTTCATACTGGGGAGCAACCTTATAACTGCAATACATGTGGAAAGTCCTTTACGAACAAAGGCAGCATGAGGAGACATGCATTGATACATACTGGGGAGCGACCTTATAAGTGTGCTACATGTGGAAAGTCCTTCAAATACAAAGGAAATATGAAGAGTCATACATCATATGTTCATACTGGAGAGCTGCCTCATAAGTGCACTACATGCAGGAAAACCTTCTTAACCAATTGCGCATTGATGAGACATACATTGATACATACTGGGGAGCGACCTTATAAGTGTGCTACATGTGGAAAGTCCTTCAAAGACAAAGGACATATGAAGAGACATACATTTGTTCATACTGGAGAGCAAACTCATAAGTGCACTACATGCAGGAAAACCTTCTCAACCAAGTTTGCATTGATGAGACATACATTGATACATACTGGGGAGCGACCTTATAAGTGTGCTACATGTGGAAAGTCCTTCAAAGACAAAGGACATATGAAGAGACATACATTGGTTCATACTAGGCAGCCCAATTATTAGTTAAGGACTTGTGTAAAATCTATCACATATAAAATAAACGGTATCAGCATTCTGACACATACTTTTTCCCATAAGCTTGTGAACAACCTTTATCATAAGCGGTGAGAGTAAATATATATTTTATCGTTAAAAATAACAAAAGTTGCAATCACTTTTGGACCGTGATTGATACAGCAATGGGGTGTTGTACTATTTTCTTTAGAATTATGAGGACCAAAACATATTAATTTTGATCAAAACCAGCTTTAAAAAAAAACTCAGATTTTTTAAAATTGTATGTTTGGTTATGGGAAAAGTTACAATTACTTTTTAACCGTAATTTTTATGGAAATGTGATTTGTACCATTTTGTTTAGAATTTAAAGGACTATAACATACTAAATTTCTAAGAAAATTGTTCAGGCCGTTTTTTGAGAAAATCTTTTTTTTTCGTTATTTTATGGTGTTTTATGGAAAAATCCCCATTAAAAATCAAAATTAAAAAAAAATTTAAAGTTCAAAATTTTAGGAACCATATCATACTAAGTTAAGTTGTACATTTTTTGGGTTCAGGGGACTCAAAATGGATATATCCACTCAAAACTCAAATTTGAAAATTTTGATGAAAACAATACTTTCTTCATAAAATATGGTATAGGGGGAGAACATAATAAACTAGCTGTTGTAAACGTGCTTCGCACCAGGAAGAGAGGCAAAAACTTTCTGATAATCAAAATTAAATGTTTAATAGTAAACGTCATTTAACAATATATCATTATATCTAACTAATGGACGAATTAGAAGTTTTTCAATTTAAAATTCAGAATGTGTATTACAAGCCAACAGTTACTCAGTATTGCAATAGAAAATGTCTTCAAAACGAACAACAATATACTTGGTGAATTACTCTACTCCAACACAGTACTGTAACTGTACAATATATTAGGTGGCGTTAATTTTACGGGGCTTAAGAATTCATACAGCTTTAAGTGCATTAATAATACTTTGGCAAAAAGTAAGCTATCTTATTTCAAAATTATAGGCAGAGTCACGAAATAGGACAGACTTGTTGCTCGCCACTCTTAGTCTTCCTTTCTACAAAAATCGCCGGACAAAATACCCAGAATTCCTTAATTGCCACCAGCATAAAAGGTTTTTGTGATGAAGTAATCTTATAATAAACTCATTTTGATAGCCCCAGGATTGCCCCTTATGACTAATAATGGTAGAAACGCATCTTGTCAGACAATCCTTAATAATATATGTAAGGTAGAGTCGAATTTTACTTGCTACATATGTTCTGGCGGTTCTTTAACTCCACCATCGGAGGCTTACAAAAGGATTTACTTCTGGAGGTGTCGTCAGAATATGTTACAAACATTAAACACGAAACGATAACAGATAGGCCTATCAATTCACGCGTGTATATTGCCGCGGGCAGGACTGGAAGTAAACTGAATCAGGTTATGACGGAAAGACGTGGTCTGTTTTATCAAAAGCTGATATTGGACTAATTGTAGTGACGAAGGAGAGTGTTGAAAATATAATGGGATTCATAATTGAGTTTTCCATTCAAAATTATTGACAATAATAACCAATTTATATGCTGGATATAAATTATGGTCTCGAAATTCTACAGTACTGCGCGAAAGGAAATTTTTAAATACTTTTGAAGAGTTTGAAATTTATAAATACATAGAACTAGGGACAGCACCCAATTTTTGAGTAAAAACACTCGATTAACTATGAATTCCATTATATTTTCAACACTCTTCTCAGTCATTAAAATAGTGCAATATCAGCTGTTGAAAACGCAGACGACAATCTAGAGACCACGTCAGTCCGTCTCCGTCATAACCTGAACCTGATTCAGTTTACTTCCAGTCCTGCCGACGGCAATGTACATGCGTGAATTGATAGGCATATCTGTAATCGTTTCGTGTTTTGTATTAAATGTTTGTAACGTATTCTTACGACACCTCCAGAAGTGGATCTTTATGTAAGCCTGACGATAATGGAGTTTAAGAACCACCAAAACATATGTATCAAGTAAAATTTGACACTAGAATATTAAGGATTGCCTGACAAGGTGTGTTTTTGTTTTTACCATTCTTAGGGCAAAATGTTGTTGGTGTTGATAGTGAACTACTTAGAAACACTTTTCAGGCTGCTTATACAAAATTATACATTCATTATGATAGCTAGCAAACAAATGTCCCCCCCAAAAGCCCCCAAAAAAAGTCCCCCCCAAAAATTCCTGTGGCGCAAACGCGCCACAGTCCCCCCCTCTGGGCACCCCTGCGCTACATACATTGATACATTCTGGAGAGCAACCTCAAGTGTGCTATATGTGGAAAGTCCTTCAAAGACTATGCCCAACTGTCCATAAACTCCCCTTTCACCTGTTGTTTGTCATGAGCAAGTAGACATTTAAAAAATCAAACTATGACGTTTGCATTCACGAATTTCAAAACACACAGCAGACATTTTTACTTTACATTTACTTTACCCTATACATAGTATATAGAAAAAGTATTGTTTTCGTCAATATTTTTTGGTTAGAGTTTTGAGTGGATATATCCATTTTGGGTCCCCCTGAACCCAAAAACGTGGTTTCCAAAGTGATGTCTGTGTGTCTGGATGTGTACAGAGCTACAGACCACACCTGTAGTCCGATTTTGATGAAATTTGGTATGCAGGTACTAATCCATGGTATCTCCGGTTCAAAAGTTATTGTAAATTATGTTATTTTTCTATAAAAATCTATAAAATAAAAGAAAGTCATATTTTTCTAAAAATGTGGGTTTTGGTTCAGATTAGTATGTGATAATCGTTATAATTCTTAACAACATAGTGCAACCTAAATTGCTGTAAAATTGTGGTTTGAAAGTTTTTGTAGCTTTTGTTATTATTTTCCCATAAAACACATAAAAATCGAAAAAAAAAGATTTAAACAAATATTTTGATTTAAATTCGTCTGTTATGGTCCTTATGATTCTAAAAAAAATAGTCCAACACCCTATTCCTGTAAAAAACACTTTTCAAAAGCTAATTAAATCATACTTTTGTGATTTTACCCATTAAATATCATAGTTAGTTACTCTCATCGCTTACCCATGATAAAGGTTGTTGACAAGCTAATGGGAGAAAGTATGTGTCAAATTGCTGATACCGTTTATTAAAACTTACTATGACAATTGCATTCATAAATCTCAAAACATTTTGTAGGCTACGGCCATATCCTCCTAAAAGCTGTTTACTGACTTTCTAAAGCCATTATGTCTATATTCATCAGAATTACAAATTTTTAAAAGATGGTTCTCAGAAAACATTTTAACAATGAATGTCAGTGAAACAAAATGTTTGCCTATCGCACTTTGTCCCCCTAGCCTTGCACTCATGTGGCACCGCAGGCAGCGATTGCAATTGCCAAATTATTGAGACTGTGTCGCATTATAAATACCTGGGCATTATAATGGATTCTAAACTGAAATGGGAAAGCCAAATAAATTTTTATTAAACAAAGCTTAGAAAAATAATTTATGTTTTTTACTAATTTGGCCAAATTTTACGACATGAAGAAATTTAAAGAATTTACTACGCATACGTTCAATCTCATCTGCAGTATGGTTTAATAGCTTGGGTAGGGGCTTTTTCATCGTTAATTGAACCTTTATTCGTGATTCAAAAATCAATAATTAGAGCTGCGTTAAGAAAACCGAGACGTTATTCTACTGATCATAGGTTCAAAGAATCTCGGCTTTTATCAATAAGGCAGCTGCATATGTTAAAAATGTATTAGCTTACTCATACATTCATTTAGAACTTATCGCCTCGCCGGTAGTTTATGACTATCATACCAGAAACTCAGTGATTATAGGATTACAGGTCCCAAGAGTTCTCAAATCAATCAATTAACAAATTCCTTTTACATTGTTAATTGCTTGTTGCATAGTATTCCTCCAGAAATTAGGGACATGCGAGTGTCACTGAGTGTATATAAGAGGGTTATCGCTAACTGAGGGTTATCGCTGGCTGATGGAGATAGGCCTTGACACTAAAGAGTCGCTTATCAGCCCAGAATATCCCGTTTAGACCTAACCAACTGATAACTGGACTATCTATTGTACCTTCTACAGCACTCTTACTTGACGGAATCCACGCCTCAGTAAAATTGGGAATTGAAGGAAAAAAGTTTATGTGTATCGGATGTAATGCAAGCAATGAGCTCCCTTAGTTATTGAGTTGCATATGGTTGTTAGGTTTTACAGTTAGGTTATTATAATTGTATAGTAAATTAATTTTTATCCTTATTTTACCAAGTTATTGTTAGATTTTTTGTTTGTATTAAGTGAAGTGCGAAGAACTTTTATTTTGATAAGGCAGCCAAATAAGGACTCTACGCACATATCACTGCAGGGTTGCCACCCGTCCCGATTTTGTTTTCTTATGCCCGTATATAAGCCTATGTTAATTCGGGGGAAATGTCCCTATTATTCCCTAACCTAAGGTGGCAACCCTGGGTCACTGTGACCAAGGCCACACTAAAAAACAGGCCGTAATGCTCGTCAATCATGACGTCACGATAGAAGACGGCAATGACGTAATTAAGGTTTTATTTTTGTTTTCCATGAAAAGATTAAAACAAGCAGCTGATCACAAACGTCATTGCCGTCTTCTACCGTGACGTCATGCTAGACGAGCATTGCGGCCTGTTTTTTTAGTGTGGCCTTGCTGTGACCCATGTGATATTTTTATTTGTTACATGTATTGCTGCAAAATAATTTGTTCTAAATAAAGAATTTCTCTCTCTTTCTCTGTATCTGTATCCAACTGTCCAAAAACTTCCCATTACACCTGTTATTTGTCATGAGCAAGTAGACATTTAAAACATTAAACTATGTCGATGACGAACTTGCATTCATGAATTCCAAAAGATTAGTCTAGTGTAGACTACGAAGCCATATCTCCTAAAACCCGTTTGGTGACTTTTTAAAGCTATTTTAATGTCTAGAACTGTGTACAATTTTTAAGTTATTACCGTAGGTTTCATAGCAAGACCTAGACCCAGGACCGATTTACTTTTTCGTTTTCAGGTCCTCAGAAGTCAAAAATCCCACATCCGTTCAAATTCATATATATTATATATATACATAAACGTGTAAACCTACGTTTATTCAAACGAGTTCGCAAACCAGCATATATAAGGTTAATACCCCCGCCGCAGCAAACCTGCTTACTAAGCAAATTTCCTTTTCCCGGCTTGATTTGTACTAAAATATTCTCTAAAAATTGTCAGATTTATTTCC